CCTTCTCCCTTCAGTGTGAGTCTGTTGTCATTTCTTTTTTAACCACAGGTTTCTGTAGAAAACCTCAAGGTCTGCAAATTTACATGCTGCTTTTCCTAAAACACTGAAAAAGAATCCAGGGTGAAGATAATAAAGCCTGCAGTTCTTCCAAGCTATTGTTTATTCTAAAGGCATTTAAATGTTCAGTACTGAGATGGTCACTGCGCAGTTTGTAATCCCAAGGTATGAAACACAACAGTCCCACAGCATTCCTCTTAGATCTAATCAGAAGGCCATGAGATCTTGGCTGTTCAAACTGCAGAGAGGGGTAATAGCTCCATGAATGGTGAAAATCCCCACCAGTGATTCAAGAACATGTTAGTTCTCTCTCTGGGCAGCCTAACCTGAACACCAACAATATCAGGATTTTTTTTCTGAAGTATCTGTTTCCCCTTTTTAAACACAGTATGTGCATGAAGCCTTGGCACACTGGTTGCCTCAGCTGGGTGCCTCTTGTGCTCCTCTGGCGTGTGTTGGTTTTTTGTTTTTTTTTTTTATTTCCACATGTGAGAGAAGGATTTAATAAATTGCAGGATCATAAATTTCATTTAGGGGGAGGGAGAAAGAACAGTAACTTCTTTGTGCTACATGGAGACTGTATAATTTGCATAAATATTGCCTGTCTCTTTGGCAGATAGAGTAATTAAGAAGTGACCAGCATTGCTCTTGTTTGGTCATATTCCGTATTCTTGTATAAGATTAGTTTCATTTATTCTTTCATTTATTTATTTGCCACAGAGTTTCTGGTTCTCCAAGTTCCCTATTTTTATAGGACACAGGGGTGAGTTGTATCGAGAGGTGCAGTGCTTTGCTTACAGAGTTACTTTTCTCAAATTAGTCAATATATCCCTAATTCACTTTTCTTGAAGACAGCCAGGCATCAATGTACTCAGGCCAGCATGCTTTTGGCAGCTCATGCAAAGTGTGAAGAACACATGCAATTTGTCCTTTTTAATTTATTCTTCTCTGCCCTGTAATAAAGTAAGCAGCCATATCCTGTATTAGTTAAAGCTTCTGAGAAGGCTCCTTCTGTGCTTCCAGAATGATCCTATAGTGATAGCATAGCACTGTGGAAATAAAAGACATGAGACATATGCAAATGATGAAATCTGCATCTGACAGGGATGGACCCATTTCTCTCACCAGCCCAATGTGGTGGCTGCTGGGTAGGTGTGTCTATATCTAATCTATAGCTGCGCTCAGAAAATGGCTGCATCATAGAACTGGCAGGACCAGGTCCCACACCAGCCAGTCAAGGAACAGTGGTGGGTTATTAACTTTGATGATCACCTATTCAAATGAGCTGAGAAAATTAATTCCCTCTGCTTCTCCAATTCTGGAAAACAAAACAAAAGAGTGAAAAAATCTGCAAGGACTAAGGAAAGGTTTTAAAAGTAGCAATAAAGACTCAAGCTTTTGGAAGAATCAGCAGCTTTGAACACAAGAGAGGATCAGGGCAGAATACTTTATAGCAGAGAAGTTCCACTTAACAGTGGGACTAACTAAGGTCAAAGAGAGCTGATGTAATGGGAGAGAGGCTAAATACTTAAGAGGAGAGCTCTGAGTTGCAGGAAAAAAACATGCACATCTTTGAGGAACTTGATATTACCCAAAATGTTGTGAATTTGGAAAATGCACATAGAATTTACTGGGTTTAGTGGAAATGTTTGTCTCTGTGCTTTATGAGAGTAATTTTGCTAGGAGGGGGCTGGGTCTGAGTGCAGCTAGACTATATGCTATTGTACTGCAGAAGAAATAGCAAGCAAAGATTCTCCACCCAGTAAAAATGCTGGAGGGGTCTAAAGCAGAGACAGTGCTGTTGCCTACCTATTTCTAACAGAAGCTTAAAAAGTAACTTGATTTAATATTACCTAGTTTTGGAGCTTGCATTTCAAGAAATATAGTCCAGCTGGAGAAGAAAGCAAAAGGAATAATCGGGGATCTAAAAAAATGATCTGTGAGGTAAGATTGAATGATCTGTGGTTGTCTAACCTAAGCAAGAGGTCTTCAGCTATATGAAGAAAAAGAAAACAATCCCTTCTTAAATTCCTGGGGAAAAGTGAGTACCAATAGGCTTCAGTTGCAGTAAGAAAGATGTCTGTTAATCATTAGGAAATACTCGGTATTCCTTTGGAATTCCATGGTGTAGTGCAGTAGGTCGGGAAGGGGTAGCGCCTTTGTCACTGAACATCTTTATGAATAGGCCAGGAAACATATGGAAGTAATGACACAGACGAAGCAGGGCCTTTGTTGACCTTGTATGCCTGACAACTTTCTGAATACACAAACTGGTCAGCTGGACCCAGTGAGTAAAGTTAAGCAAGAGACAAAGGGATTTGGGCCACTTCTGTAGCTGGGAATCCAAGAGAAGATAGGAGGCAGTAAATCCCCTGTGTATTTTGACAATGGGAATCTCCCTCAACTTTGAAAGCAGATTTTTGTCAACTTAAAACCATTTTCCTTGCCAGGCCCATACATTACCTTCATCTTATCTATAGAAAGCTCTAGCCAACTGGCTTTCATCCATGTCTTATCTCTGCTAGACACAAGGAAGCTGTAACATATGGCTTCAATGAAAAGGAGACACAGAGCTTGGTGTCATCAGGATATTGAAGACATTGTAGCCTATGCCATTTCACAATATCCTCTAGTGGTTTCATATGGGTTTTGAATAGGAAGGGGAACAGCAATGAACCCTTCGGTACTTTAAGCTGCAAGACCTGGGAGGAAAAAAAGAAACATTTGTCTGTGCCTATGGGATCTTCTTGACAGAGATTGTCAGAACACTTTAAAGTGTTTCTCCTCTCCTGTTGACCATTTTGCTGTATAAGTAACACGTAACAGCAAACAGAAAGTAGACTCAATGTCTGGACTTCAGTCTGGTGCACAGTGTTAAAATACGGAATTAGTAATCTTATGGTAAAGAATGTGTGTATGTATGTGGGTCTGTGTGAAGTCATGTAACCATGTAGTGATAGAAATTTTCTGCTTTTGTAAAATTCCTGCTTTCAGTAATCAGAATGTATAATCTGACTTATAATTGGAAGAATACATATATAGTTCAACAATTTTAGTCCTGACAGCTGTGGAACAAGAACATTTTGCAGAGCTGATTTACTGCAGAGGCCTAGCAATGAGACCTACCCTAGGAGATCGGGAGGACAAATAGTTAATTTCTTAGTTGGTTTAATCAACCATTGAAATACAGGTGAAATTATGTGACCCCTATGTGGAAAGGAGAGGGTAGAATTCAGTGATAAAGATGCAGAGTGGAGGGAGAAAATATAAAATCTCAGTTCACTATTAGCAATCACTCTGTAGGCAGACATGCCTTTCCCCCCAGGCTTTCGTCCATCTGGAGTTCCCACCTGCACTGTGCCAAACAAGATTTAGCTTAAATGCCCAGCCATTTATTTGGAGAGTATCGTTGATATATATTTTTTGTTCATATGAAGATTTGCTAAAAACCAGATATGTTATCTGGTCTTGAAAAGTCTTTGTTTTCCATTTAAAAAGCAAATAATTGCATTGTTTAGATTTTGTGCTCTTTTCTGCCCTTGGTGATGAGAAAACCATACTGAAATTACAATGTGCACCTGCATGTACCTGAGCTGTAATAATGAAGATAAATTAATTACTCCAGAATCAGGTTAGTTCACCTGCCTCAGCCATTTCAGCCATTCATAATCACCAGGAAGTCCTAGAGGCCCCATATTCATGACTGGGAGATTTTTCAAAATAGAGCACTACTAATAAGGCCATCTGACCTTTCTCCTTTCAGTGCTGTGATATTTGGTGGACAAGACATAAAGCATCCCAGTGAACAACATAGGGACTGACACAGAGGAGATGGTGCGTGACTGAGATGTTGAAATTGACTTACCACCACTGTCCTATCAATGTAACAGAAAGAAAGGGAGTTCTACATACTGGGATTGTTGCAGAATAGGAGCAAAGCAAATTAGTGAAATCCATCTTGTTTTCACATAACAAATACCAGATGAGCTGGAGTGATGCTGTGCAGGAGATTGCAATGAAAATATGCAGCTTGTGATAAGCTGACAGGAGCTGGACTGAGCACAAATATCTTAGAAACATCAGTGGATAAATGAGAAGTTTTGTTTTCTTTCAAAAGTGTGTTTGCTATGCTTCTCTTTTCAGAATATAACACATTGTGTTAATACCAGCGTCTATATTTATAACACCTTACACTTCCTAAGTGTCCATTTTGTGCATTTTGTATGTTCTTTTTTTTTTTTTTTAATGGACGCGTTTTAATTATCATTAGAAATCTGTGACCAAGGAGATTAGACTTGTTCAGCAGGACTGTTTTCTCAAGACATCCTGGCTGCAGTGGAGTGACTATGATAACTCTTGCACAGGTGGGCAGATGGGACAAGGCTGGTTGAGGTGACAATCCTGACAGTCCTAGCTGAGGAAGCAGAGCCACTGCATTGGACTGATGTATGATAAAATTGCTTCTCAGCAAATGTAGCCTGTCTTGTTCTTTCTGCTAGATGTAATGGAAGAAATAGTTAACCAAAACAGGACGACAGCAACAACATATGTTTTGGCAAAAGGCCATGAGGGTTTATATCAGTTAGCGTTGTGTGTTTGTTCCATACCAACCATTTAAACTCCGTGGGAAATATTGAAGAATACAAACACATTCACAAATTTTATTGACTATGGAAGGCTATAAGATAGATCGCAAATGATAAATTCAGCTTGAAAAACAAGCAACATGAGAACAAAAGTTGAAAATGGTGTAACTGAGAAGCAGCCTTCTAGAGAAATAATCTAAATTTTGATTTCTGCTAAAAGACAATTATAAATGTGGAATGGTTCCCTCACTCTCAAGAGAAAGAGATCTTGCACTGAGGCTACCTGTGGGAGTCAGCAGATGCCTTTGGGTACACTGAGAAAAACAGTCCTTCAGATAAGATGACTGATTTAGTGAAATCCAGCATTTTTTTAATTCCAATTCTGAGAATGAATCACATGATTTTCTACAGATAATTGGCTGGTGTCCACTAAGTCTTGAAATTAACTTTACGTCCTACTTTGTGATTGACATCTCACTAATTAGATGACTTTCAGCTGGGGGAGTTTTGGTGATCTGGCCTGCTGCAGTTAGGTGCCAGGACCCTTGGCATACTCTTTGCAGCTGTGCTGCAGACTTCCTGCTAGGAACTTTGTGATTAAGCTCCATTATCCAACTTCCACCTATCTGGGAAAAGCTCATCAATTTAATACAGTTTTAGAAATGGCTCTTTATGGGTACAGCTAGTGGCAGTTATGCAGGTCAGATGATTCTCTGGAAATTCTCTGGTAAACCACACAGTTTAACAAAGTTACTGATTCAGAACCAAAGTGGGTAAGATGGCAAATTTCATCATGTGTTTGAAACTGTTTTGTGTATCTCTGGCTTTTTTGTATGTGTAGTCCAAAGCATTACAGTGGCCTTCAACAAAGATAGCTCTCTGTATTTAGCGCTAACATCAAGGTAGCTTTTACTTTCTTGTTTTGCTCTGTACTCTTGTAGTCCTGGAAGAGCTTCCAAGGGTCAAGGTAGCACTGCAGTCATGTAGAGTTCTTTGTCTTCAACAACAAAGATTTAGTAATCAGTAAAACCAATGGACCAAGGCCAGTAGAGGCATAAACAGTGACTGGACTTCTTGAGCCCAGCTCTTAAATGGTGTAAGTGAATCTACTGTGGTCCAAAAAATCTCACCTTTTTTTGGATCTTCTTTGTGTCAGTAGCTTAAAAGCTAAACTAAGACAAAAGGATTGGAGTGACAGCAGTAAAAAGAATTGTAATAGATCTAAGGCATGGCATAACTGTTTTATTTTGTCTTTTCTTGTTAATTGCTTTTCCTTCTTCATGTCCATTTCTGCACCTATTTATACAGGAGATGAACAAGGCCAGAAACTGATTGTACCAACATTAAGATGTCCTGTAATCAAGGAGTGAATGTCCAGGTCTTTCAGCACTTCTGTACCAAAACACTTAGCAGATAGGATTGCAGATCCTGCACCAAACCTTCTTGCTCTGTGACTGTCAGGGATTGGCAATTTATGTATGATGCCTAGGGAGCAAACTTTGAGCTGCTGCGTTTCTACTATTGCAGGTTGTTGTTGTTGTAAGCCATGATTATGAACTGCCCTAAGCTTTGCCTTGTCTCTTGTCACTGCCCTGATGCGTGCCAAGAGGTAAAGTAAGGAACACGGATGGCATCTGGGAGAAAGGGAGACAGGAGGAACTCAGCTTGGCAGATAGTGGATCACAGCAAGGTGTCAGTAGTTTATTTAGTAAATAGTGGTTTGTTAAACAGCCATTCTTTAGCTGCAGTGGATTATTTCCAGCCTCGGTAATATTTTATTATTATTGTTAAGAACAAAAGCATACAGTAGCTATAGGAGAATGGTGGTTCTCCTAGCTAAGATTCATCGCTCATTAACAATTTAGTTGTGTGATTTTAGATGTGCTGGACTTCTAAGTGGTTTTTTTTTTCCTAATTCTTGTCATACTCAAACACACCCATTTTAATTAGCAAGAAATTAAACTTCCTGCAGGAAGAAAGAGTAGTGTTATCTGGTTTGTGCATAGGCTGCCTCCATCACACTAATGCATAATCAAAGAAAATACAATTCCAGCTCTGCATATCTGAGGCCCAGTCCTGTGCTCCAGTCTGTCCATCCTCTGCTCGTATAAATGGGTGAGTCCTCAGGCTTTGCTTGGGGCAAAAAGTATCATCTCATAATAAAAATAATTAAAAAAAAAAAAGAGTAATTCTATGCAAGGACTTAGATTTAATAAAATCAGGTACTCTAATAGGCCAGCTTCAACTGTCACTGTGGTGTAAAGCAGGTGATCCTCCTGAAATGTCTGGAGCTGTACCAGTCTCATATTTCAGAGATCAGAAGTAGTTCCAATCTGCTGAAGAATGAAGCAGTTCTGTTATTTGTTGGAAGCAAGAAATCAGTTATCCAAATCAACAGTTTCTCTGCTATGTCCCACCTCAGTTTTATACTATAAAATAAGTTACATGGATTACATGGGGTGCTCTTCTAAGTATGTTCCACTGTGTTTATTAATAAGGTCTTCTTTTTTTTTTTTTCCTTCTTCAGGTAGCTTTTCCTCTAAACAGGACTATTTCTGCACTATTTTTTTTTCTATTTCTATTAAAACCATTCTAAGATCCAGGAAAAAGTTTGATTTTCTTTTATTTTTTTTTTATTTTTTTTAATTTTTTTTACTTTCTGATATTACTATAAATATTTCCTGGTAGTTCATGGTGTCTGTCATACTGTTTGTAGCCATGTGTTTTTAAATATTTTAAGTGGGATATATGAGGGAGGTTAGTTTTACAGCAGGATTTCCCAAACTGAGGTATGGAAGTAGAGGTGAAAAAGCAAATACATCAGTCTGCTTCCAGTGCAGGGCGTGCTGATTTGTGCTGGGGAGGAAGGAAGATGAGTGGAAGAGCTCATGTGGGAGAGAGGATCATGGCAGAGACAATTGAAAAGGACCAGTTTACAGAAGTTTAAAGATAAATGCACTTATTTATAGTCAGTAGTCTAAGTTGTGTTGTTTGGCATGAGCTGGTTTCTCAGTGTTTACAGCACTTTCACTAGAGCTATCAGTTAGGGATGGGGGGGGTGCTGTAAGGGAAGTAGAACATCCCTGTGTGAAAATGCCATGAACTCCTTGCTTACCAAGTGGCTTAAGGTAATATAAAGGGACTCAGTGTTTAGACTCTAAATGCCAAGGGAGCAATACCTGAAAGGTCTGAGACTGTAGCACCGGACTACACAATTCCCTATTTACTACATATGGTATATTTAGTAACTAATCAGCCAGCCTAATAATTTAAAATAGTGTTTGACAAAAAGGTCAAATGTTTAATATTAGGGCTGGGAGAGCCATAGGAATCTGAAGGAGAATGTTCTTTGGAACAGAGTGCAAGATGCAGCTCCTGGCTTTGCTGTTGTCTCTCTCAATTCCTCCTTTCATTCTGTACAGGTGTCATAATTTCTTAAGTTCAAACAATTCCATACATTTTCTGCTTCTGGAGGATGTAAGTCTGTGGAAATCTCAGTTCCCAGATGACAGACCAAACAACTCTGTCTCTGGAAGCTTCTTCTCCCAAAGTCTTTCAAAAATTGCTTTTTGAAAAGTGTCGTAGTTTCTGGAGCAAACAAAAGTTCCCCAGAGTAGGTGGAGAACTCCGTATTTTGTGGAAATCTTATTAGAATGCAATCAAAGAGACTTTTCAAATTAAATAATTGCTTTGTAAAACTTAGCAGACATTATGTTCCAAGTCTGCCAGCCAAATGGATCTCAGCCAGAGGGGTGAGGAGTGAACCAAACCAAGGCTGGGATAAATATGCTCCACTTCCACACTGCCTGTGAACTTCGCCAATATATGCAGAAGCTAGAAATAGCCACAGTGTGCTGCTGATCTATAGCACAACCTGGGCAGCATCAGAGGCTCGTTTCCTCAGTAAAACAGAAAGAAAATACAGTTGTAAATGAGACTAAATGCTATACTTGGATCCAGACTGTGGGACACACATCTGACTTTATCATAGTTACTATCCTCCCTCAGCTCCTGTTTCTCTGTCTGATAGTGTTCCCACATTTTGTTCTTCATGACTCCCTTCATGACAGTTAGTAGTTTATTTTTCTGTCATCTTATTTGTCTACAGTGGCCTTGGCTGCTTTATATCTGCCCGTGGGTCCCACCTCAGTTGCAGATGTTTGAACTAACCTGGCTCCTTGCTGCATCTTCCAGCTGAGGAAATTGCAAGTATTATCATGGCAAGCAGAACAAATAGAGGATACACCCTGCACCTCAGATTGCTGTAGCACTTTTTATAAACCCATGTGGCTAATAGCAGACTTCTCATTTCTTGGGTTGGTGGGTTTTTGTTGTTTTTTTTTCGTTTGTTTGTTTGTTTGTTTTTGGTGAATTGGCAAATGTATACTAGAGGAATGAGGTATTTGACATTAAAAATGGGACACACCTTTTAATTCTCATGAAAGCATTATCACGAGAAGCCTTCTTACATCAACAGAGTGAGAACAAGTTAAATATTTTGTTTCAAAGGGATTATCCCTACCCAACAGGGAACAGCTGGCATAAAGCGTTGATCCACCTCCCATTGCAAACATGAGCCAAACTCCTGTTGATTTCGTTGGTACGGAATCAAGCCCTTATTAAGTCCACGACCAGCTTTACACAACTTCTGTCTCTGTCTACTTCCCTCATCCACAGGCTGACCTGCCACCCTGGAGAACCTGAGGTGAAGAGGGCAGCAATGAAACAACCAAAACAAAAGAAACATTTTAAGAGGCAAACGAGTAAAATATCATGAAAATTTGAAATATATTCAGTTGTGCAGTACATATCAAGCAGTCCTACTAACTTCAATCCAGTCCTTCTGTTCTTTCTGTATGAAAGGACACATAACAAGGAGTAACATGTATCCGGGATTTTCACTCATGAAATAAGGTAGCCTAGATTCTTATCTTTTCTATGTCAGCAAGGTTCCTCTCCAGGCTCTGTCTCATTTCTGTGGCAAGCTGCTTGAAAATTTCTATTTTGTTATGGTACCTCCAAGTTCTGTACACAAATCCTTGTGCGCAAAGCACAAGTTACTCTGTTACTCAGGAGTCCTTACTCTCAGATCTAGAAAGGGCAACAGGTTTCTTCTTCTGTAATCTGAGTGTTCTCATCAAGAGGAGAAAATAAATTTTAGTAGAACTTTTAGAGCACATATATTGCTAAAAAAAATCTGGACATGAGTTGGGTCCTAATCTCTAATATCAGCAGGCTTCCTGTCTGTCAACATCCAGTCCTTTCACTGTTCTCCTGTTGGAATGCATTTCTGCTCAATGGCAGACCAGGTTGAAACCACCAGTGCCTAGGAGCAGCAAAAAAGGTAATAATGAGTTATTAAGAGCCATATGGAATGTGACAGTGAAAAAACTGGGGTTGGACTCTCTTATGTTATCTAAATGTTAGTACTTATGAACAAGATATTTTCATATCCTTTCTAATACTTTGAGATAAATTTTCATCTATCATAGCTGTCTTCGTTTTACTCAGTTAACAATGAATGATCAGTGAAACATTTTGGAATAGAAAAGACTAGATGATTCATATAACCTCTGATGTGAAGGGTTTTCAAATTTTAAAGTAAAAGTAGTTATGTCTCTTTCACAACATGTAAGAACCAAGAAATGATATAGGAGAGCTAAGAAGTTTGAACTGAATAACACAGTTGGCGAAATTTTCATACTGGTTTGATTTTTTGATAATCAAATTGTGTTTCATTGTTCAGCATTTCCACGAGTTCTCAAAGAAGCTGTCTTCACAGCCATCTCTTTTCACTGAAAGTCACCTTTTGATGATAGTGGTGTGACTGTGTGAGTGTTATATAACTGCAATTTCTATCTCCTGAGGAAGGTGCTGTGCAAAAAGCTGTGTTTCATCTTCTTTATTAAAACTGCCAGAAGATCCAAGATGTGAAAAGGAGTCCAAAGTCTTGCCCAGCTGTGGCTAGCAAGGAATCTAGAAACATTGCCATAACGTTCCTGTTATGCACACGCTTCTGATAAGTCTGTGTGAAGACTGTAGGATCAAATTCTCTGCTGGAATGAAAAACATTTCTTTGGTGTCTGCCACACTTTTAGTACCTGTTTCAGCAAAGACCTTGGTTACTAAATGCTAAAATACAGATTGTATAATCCAACTTGTATAATCAGTGTTTTTATCTTTGTGCCAATGCACATAAAGAGGTAAATGTAATGCATACATGACTTCTTCATGGAACTTCCACTGTTTAAGCCTATGAGTGGTAAATTAAGTGCCCTGTTCAGATAGATTATTTTATAATAATGATAGCCTTTGATATTGCATGATTTCCAAAAACATATAAGCCTCTTCTGTGTGGAAGGCTAGATGTGCTGCTCCACTGTTCTGGACCAATATCTGTGGTTTTGCATTTTTAGCTATTTCTTTTGAAATTTCTGGTTAGCTAAAAAATCAAGATATTCTAGGTTATTCTATTTATGAGGAGAAAATGCAGTGAGATAAATACAGAGAGACATACTACTTTTTTGCAACAAATAAATAAATAAAAGGGGCAAAGTTCAACTTTTCTGACCCCGATCAAGTCAAACAACCAGAATAATTTTACCCTGTTGCCTGTGAAATTTTCTTCAGCCACAGCTCATTCCTTATGCTCACCCTTAGCTTCTTGTGGGGGTGTGCTGTCTGCTTATCCCGCCTCCTCTCCTCTTTCCTGCAGTGCCTCTTTGGTGGCTTTGCTTCCCACCCACCTCTGGAAGACACTCAGTGCAATGCTCAGAAGATTCAATTCCTTCACATCTCTGAGCAGTCAGGCCTTGCCTGTGCTTTGCTTTGGAGGCTGCATATCTTCACAATGGAATGAGTTGCTCCTTCCCAGCTAGCTCAGCTGAGGGAAAGTGGCTGCAAACACCAGCTCTGGCAGTGCTTCATCCAACCAGTCATAAACTGTTTTCTACCAAAATTATTCTCATAACTCTCTTTGCGTAAACAAGCAAGCCTGAAAAGAAGAGGAATAAAACATAGAGTGGTTTAGAATTGTATACTAGGAATAATTAAACTTTTACTAAAATGCTTCTGTCATTTCTCTATTTTTACTCACCGTGAGGAGGACAGCATGTTCTCATCTCTATAGAGTCACATGAACGACTTGATTAAAGTGCATGATGCAGAGCTGAATCTGGGCATTTGAAGCTTCCTTGCTGTTTTCTTAAGGTATTTGTATGATAGATGAGGAAAAATTAAGTCCTCTGCTCCCGTGCTTAGTTCATCTTGTTATGATGAAGATATATTTTCCACACATTTGCAAATAGGGTAAAGAACAAGAGTACTTTAGCTATTTAGAGTCTTTAGAAGAAGAAAGGCAGTTTAGATTACCAGCAGCCTACAGTCTGCTTGGCACAAAAATGTCAGTTTTAATGGCAAGGTTCAGGATAAAACTGTGTCAGCTAATTTAATCATTTACCATGAAATACCAGTTATCTTAATCTTACATGCAGTCCTTAAGTCTGCTGCATATTTTTTGTAATTGAATCCTGACCCTAAAAGGGAGCAAGCGAGGAATTTGCTTTTCAGTGAATAGTTCAACTCTAAATGTTTCTGTTTATAAATTGTATTTGCAGCATTGTCAAATATTTTAATACTGAGTAGCTAATATTTCTGATGAGTCAATTTTTTTTTTTTTTCTCTTCATATTTGTTTTCCATGCTGCAAAAATCATATTAGTATTCAGTTTCTGTGAAACTTAACTGAGTTCTCTGGAAAAGTGCAAATATTGTTCCCAGAACTTAAGGCAAATAAATTAGTATCTAGCCCAGATGACACAATTTATTCATGTGGTTTGCTTTCCATCTAGATACCTGATGTATTACTTCAGCAGCAAATTCAACAAGGCCAAGATGTCTTCATTTTCCTCCAGAGCAAGAGCTGTACAAGCATTGTGATGGAAGTATTGGTCTTCGGTGGCCAGCCGGCGAGAACCCATCAACAGCTGTGATGAGCAGAGCAGACAGAGAGACAGGAGGCAGCTGAAGCCAAAGAGGACCCACGCCTGGAGCTGTGTGTGTGATTGGAGCAGAGAGAGGCCAGGACCCAAGGAAATCCCAGCAGCGAGGGAAAAAAACAGATTGACTCTCAGTGACTCATTTAGCTCCTGGATTGGACAGATCTCTCCCCTGCTGGCAATTTGGCTGAGCATCAATGGACAGATACCAGGATGAATAGCTTAAAATAATTAGGGGTTGGGAATCTGCAAAACTGCTAGCCATCCAATTCTTTACTCTGCAATGTGAGGCACAAAAAAGAAATTACATTTAGGTTATTAAATATTAAGTCAGTGGATTTGCTTCCATTTGGTCCAGAACAGGAAACTGGATAAAATTCAACATTTATTTCATTGTGTTGATGGCCTGTTTATCACTGAGCGGGTGAGTGCATTTTGGCAGGTCAAGCTCTTTGACACATGGGGCGAACGTGTGCTTAATTTCCCAAACAGAAGAATTAATATAATAATAATTAACACAGATGAGAACAGAATTAAAATCAAGTACAGTCAAGAGTTCAGTTAAATGCCAGATATCCTGCTTTCTGTGTGTTCTGGGACCAGATTTTTTTACTGTTGAAGGCACTGAGGATTTTGCTATTGGTGCTGATGGGAGATGAATGGTGCTGGATGTAAGAGACTGGATTCCCTGTACTTTCTATTTAGTGCTTAAAAACAGAAGCAACAGGCTCATTTAGTATCAGTAAAGGTCAGTTAAAATTATAGAGACATCCTTTGGAGCAAATCCTCTGCCTTGTATTTGCATATTTATGAACTAGAGATTACGACGGGCTATTCCATTTATTAGAGCAGCATCTCTATAGTTAATTGTCTGTCAGTATTTCCATTATAAACCCCGTTTTTCAGTGTTTTAATATCTCAGCCATTTAAAATCACATCAGGAAGCAAGTTGGCCTTGTGTTTCAGGCCAGGTGCAATTTTTTGTTCTGAATTATTATCAGTAATCAAATACTGTTCATTATATATGCAAATGAGTCACGACATTTCTGGTGGGGGAAAATAGCAAAGAATGGAAGTTCATTGTGGCTTTGTGTTTTGTTTTGTGTTTTTTTGGTTGTTCTTTTTTTTTTTTTTTTAGAAAAGAAGAGAAAAGAGGAATTTGACAAATGATGGCAATTGAGACTTCATGATTTAATAACAGCATCTCAAGCAGTTGTTCTGAAGTGGTTCTCAGTGTGAAATGAGGTTGCCACATGCTTATCAGTGGTGATAGAGGTATATGGCTACAGACACCTTGCCCCTCAAAAGCTTCTTGTCTGACAGAGTCCTAGACGAAGAACACCAGGTAAGAAAGCAACATGAGCCTCTAGAAGTAACAATAACCCCAGTTGTAACTTCAAAAACTGACCTCTTTTTAAATGCTCTCCAGATGTAGAGAAGCGCAGTGGCCTTATTCCTGTTCTATGGGGTGGAGAAGTGGGGCTTCTGAAGCTCTCAGGAAAAGACAGTTGTGAAGATACTTTACATGCACCTCGAGCTGAGCAGTATCGCTCCTCACAGCAGTCCCACATCCTACTCCTTCCAAACAGATCCTCTTTGTTTTCTGACAGTTGCTGGTTGGATAAAAAGTAACTACCTGTCAAGGGCAAGAGTTTAGACTGAAATGCCAATTTTTAACCTGTAATGGCAGCAAGAAATTGTTCTTCAGTAAAGAAGTTGGTCTTACTCTATAACCTCTTGCCCCATGAAAAGATAAACAGTCTAAAAAGGAGCCCCCGGGCATTGATTTATCCTCAGTGCCTTGAAATATCACTTGCAGGCACAGTAACTGGAAAGCTAAAATTCAAATTCACTAAGAGAGGAAAAAAAGTTGTTCACAAAGTGTTTGTTGCTTTTTACTATTTTGCCTATGTATAGTTGAAGAGGGAAACAGTCCATGTTACCTACTCTTTCTGCCATAACGGTCTGTGTGCAAACTGGGGACTCTGCAGAAACTAACAAGGGCAGACCAGAGGCTATGGAAGCATCATGTACAGACCATGTACAAACCTGGGTGAGACCTAGGGCTGGGCCTCTACTCTGTGCTCTGTTCTATGAATTTCGATATTCCAAGTTTAGAATTTGCATTGCACAATGTTTTGGGTACATCTTTTAAGAAATTATTGCAAAAATACATCTGTGATCTAAAGTCTCAAATTCCAAATGGTGATCCAGACTTTGCGACCATGAGCCCAGACCAAGGCATTCCACCCAGGCTTGTTGAACATCGGTTCCACAGCCTAATGGCTCAGGCTCATCAGTCAGTAGCGCTTTTTTGAAACAATAGTATTTCTGATAATTTTCAGGTAGCTGCTGGCCTAAATTGAATTTTCCAGATTCCTTCCAGAATTGCCATTGTAAAAAACAGTCTGCTTTTGCCAGGCACCTCGTAGTACTTTTTCAGCTAGAAAATTATCTCTGGTTCTATAGGTGATCATAACTCAGAAGTAGGCAGACAACAGAAATTCTGTTTTGAATGCAAAATTACTTTAACAGATTTATAAAGCAGGTGTATTACCCAAAGTAAGAGTGCAGAAGGGAGGGCCTGCTGAAAGTGTTTAGAATGTATGAGGTAGTAATTATTTTGTGTTGTCTGCTGAAAGATAAGTCCATTCGCAGTAAGCTATCTAAACAGTGCTTTTTACTACACGTTTGTTATGTTTTGGTTTTAATTTGCAGTGACACAAAGTCTTGCATAACCAAGTTGAGTGCATATTTGAATATTAAAAATACTAATTATTATGTAATTAGTCAACAGGATGTGTGTAATTGTGTAATACCAGAATTCCTGGGTGTGGTAAGAATGTAGGTAGAATGCCAACACTCATCTAGACACAGTGTTATAAAATTACACAGCATATCCCCTGGCTGGGTACTGTAATTTACATTTAAGCAATGGCTATATTAAGAAAATAGGACTTATCTTTTTTAAAACGAATATCTTCCCGCTGGCATTAGTCTTAGTAAATTATGATGATAATTATATCCAAATAGGGTGTATTCCATCTCCCAGGGGACTTCTTCATAAATATATAAATAGGAGATTGGAACCAGTTGTGGCAGGAAGCCACCCCAAAATGGACGTGTGACAGTTGCTGCATCCTGCACAGGAATAAGCAATTGCGGAAAATGTACTGGAAGAACTTTCTATCTCATGAAAAATCATGTGAGATTAAGCAGAAATCTGAGTGGAAATTATATTATTTCTATGATTTAATAGACATCAATGCCGTCCTTAAACCATGGTGGAAACATAATATATAATGAATCAGATTCATCTTTGGACTTAGCCATGAAGATCTAGGTTACAGTCATAAAATGTGCTGAGCGTTTTGGTTGCCTATGACCTGTGCTAAGATTTTTTGCCAATGAAGTGCAAAAATCTTCTGTGCTCATGGCCAACACTCCCCAACAGCCACCTAGCTGTCACTCATCCTTCCTATGGTGCATCTGTGGTCATTGACGGGCACACACTTCACTGGGGCCAGCACTAAGTGGCTAAGTGGTGGTGTTCTACAGTATGGACAGATAAGGAGCATTGTTCTTTTACATGGGTCAGCACTTCTCTCTTTCTGTGTAGATTCACAGTGAAAAATTCAAGAAGAGAACGGAAAGGTGAAAATTCTAACAGCAAATTAAAATGACTGGGCTCTTATTCAATAGAAATGTAAAATACTGGAGCCTAAAGCCGGGTTTTTTCCATGTGCCTGGGTGGAAAAAGGTGAGGTGCCCTGTGAGGATGATTTTATCTTTTACTTTTGAGTCTGAAGATCTTCGATGTGGTTTGGCAAGTTCAGAAAAATATTTGTGATAAAGTTGAACTGCTGTCTGGAAATGTAACATGCATCTCAAAGAAGCTTGAGAAGAAAACCCAGAAGAGTCAGCACTACACATGAATGCGGTAAAAAATTGCAGACAATTAGCTACTAGATGACTCCTACTAAATAAATCATCAAAGACCTGACTGCTGCTTCCAGGTTTCCACAATAGTATTGGCTCACTGAAGAAGCCAAAAATTGCTTAAGATGAAATTTTGGCCAAAGTTTTAGGAATCTGCTGTTCTTGTTTGAATTCACTGATCAACCAACAGCGCCAAGGCTATAAAGTGGGGGGCTTCATGTTTCTAAAGAAGATACTATGTTTATTGCTCAGAATGAAAGGCCATATGATATGGGAAATTAACTTCTTTCTGTTAAATGAGACGAGTATGGAAAAGAAAAACGACCTGAACATGTCATGGACTCTCACATCTTATTTCACTCTGTAAAGCACTTTGCTTGTCCAATTTAATGGAGAAGCAAAATTTCCCTTCCTGTATGCCTCCAATAATCAGGTCTAGCACTGATCTCATTTAGAGCTTAGTCCAAGACCCAAAGTAAGGGGAAAATATTCTCACTGCTTCCAGTTGGCATCTGGTCATTCTTGCATGGTGGTTTTACTTAAATGTATAAATAGTTCTGAGCTTCTCCCAGGAAAAATAAGAGATGTAAATGGTAAGACATGGGAGTGTGTATGTTCAACTTTCCAATCTCCTGCTACTTGCAGCTGATAGGACCAGTACTTTGGCTTGGCAAAGACTTCTTAATTCATCTGCCCTTTCTGTAGGATTAACTGGTTGGAAAAAAAAAAAAAAAAGAAAGAAAAAAAAAAAAAAGAAAAAAAAAGGGCTCACTTTGACCCTCTTTATTGCTGCATCTGGGCAGCTCACCACAGTTGCACTCTCGCTTACTGCTTGAGATTTAACTTGTGTCCCTGGCCTGTTGTGATAATCCTCTGAATGTCATTGTTGTGAAGGTTTTGTTCTTCCAAAAGCTCTTCAAAAGTTCTGTGAAGGCAAGTAGGGTTGCTTCAGATCAAAAGGAAATTGTATGTGTCACTATAATGAATGGAAATATGCAGACTAATGATTGAATTTAACAGGAAATTGAAATGCTTGACTTTCCACAAGTCCAGTTTACGTTATTTGAACTCCTAGCATTCCTAGGTGAACCTCACCCCAGTTGAGGGCCAGCCTAAGGCCTAGTTATCACATGCAATTCAAACTGTCTTCAGAATAAGACTGAAGTGGTACACAAGCCTCACACTGTCTTTCTGTGCAGGAATTTAAAAAGAACCTGATTTGGAAAACCATAGGAAAAAAATACTGACGTTTTGCACATCAGAAAAAGCTAATTAGAAACACTTTTCTTTTGTAACAAATAAGCCAAGCGTATTGACATTAATTATAAGAAATACTCAGGGTTTGGAATAATCTGTTGAAGAGCACAGATGTATACCAAATCCTATGCAAATGAGAGTGTGTTTGCAACTATTCTTCAGGTAACACATTTACTTATAAAAATAAGGTATGTGTTTGGGTTTCTTTTTAATCATTAGAAGTCTTTTTCTTGCTCTTCCTCAATATAGTGAGATAGCTGTATCTGTTCAGCACAGCCTTGCATGCGTTCCAGGAGCTGGGAGCAAATTCTTTCCTTACATGAGTTAGTACTATTTTGTCAGCTTTCCTGGCATTACATCACTGTAACTAGAAGCAGAATTTGTTCTCCTTTGGTAGTAAATTTCCTTTGGTTTCAAAAAAAGCTAATGGAATTCATAATTGCATTTATAATTTTCAGTTTGTGTCCCTGAGCTTACTAGTGACAGAAGTATTTAAATATAATGCTGTGAATGAGATTTGTTATGTTGTCCTCTAGTGCTAGCAGTGACTTCTAATAACATTGGCCAGAAAACTTTGCTTATCATTTCTTTTAGTCCAACTGGCTGCAAAGAAAACTTACTTTTGATAGCATTAGTACATGATAAGAGTTCTTCTTGTGTAAGGGCCATGACAGGCAGGCTCAGCTAGCTGAATTGCTCCATCCCAATTGCTCCCATTCCCTGCCCCATTCCCTGCTCTTTTGCTCCTTCCATCTCATGTACTGCTTTTATCCAGGTACTAGACACTTCAATTTCTAAGTCAAATTCTCTTATAGAATCTGACAAATATTTATCTTAAGGATATCTCTTAAGTTTGGTGAGAGAGCCTGCACAGGAGCTGCTCAGTGGTCATTGTAGACTGTCACCTGGCAGGGCTGGGTTTGGACTGGCAAGCTTTAGGCCCCACATCCTGGAGCCTGCTTCACAATTTCTTAGCCAGCCTATGAATGCCAGATTTTAGCATATCTACTTCTATGAACACCAGTCCACAAGGCCAAGTGTTGGTAGTAAATACTTAATTTCTCTCATCACCAGTAAATGTTGCCAGCGCTGGTTCAGGTTCCTTGAATGCTTTGCCTAACAATCCTCTAAATGTTTCACAGATATTTCCAGGGATACTGGGGTGGCACAAGTTCCAGAAAGTTTTCAGTAAAGTGTCTGCTTTCACTGCTCAGGTTCAAGCCCATTAAAGGATTTGAGAAAATCCATTCAGTGCTTTGCACAAAGAACAAATGTGAACCATTCCGATGATTTTCAGGTATCATTTCAAGCCACTACAAAGTGCTGGGAGAAGGGGAGGAGGAAATCTTCACGTATGTTCTAAAGATTTGTCAGCAGTTGGCCTTCAGACTAGCTTGAAGATTTTGGTAATGCCAGCAGCTACCAGAAGGTCCAGACAAACTCACACTAGAGATTGCCTAAGCCTCAAATTGCTGGGAGCTTACACACCAGCTGTGAATCAGCAGCCTTTGACCTGTTCTTGTATTTCCACTTCCAAGCATCCACTACTGGTAAGTGCCAAATATAAAATATTGTAATAGTTGGATCTCTGTTCAACCTAGTATGCTTGGTCTTGTTATTATGTTTACATCATTTCTAGTTAAGATAGAAAGGAGACAGCTTCCATCATACCTGCTCATGGATATTCATATGGAAAAGCAGCAGTTTACATTGACTCTGGTAATCTAAGGGAACACTTTTACAAAAAGCCACTTCTGAGACATGGATTCACTTAATTTGCCAACACAGTAGAAGAAGCACTATAGCAGATGCCAACTCAGAGTTGCATAGGCTTTAGTGGTGTCTAAATGCAGAAAAGGGATCAGAGAAATGAGAGTATCAAATGGTTGTGAAGTTGGAATGAAAGATGCTATATATGATTTCAGCTGTTGGAGGTGCAGATGTTTCTGTTTGTAACTATTCCTTACAGACAGGTGAGCCTTCTAAATATTTGTTTATATCTGGCCAACATAATAAAACAAGAGGCATTACTTTTGGAGCAACCATTGTCCTTTATTGAACTCCAACTAAAGCAGATTGATTGTTGCTTGGGAACTAGTGGTCAGGAGCATTTTGTTGGATGTGACAGTTTGCAGTACTCGTGCATCTCTGGCATTACGGAAAGATGAGGTGAGGGAAGTGGGCATCTGCCCTAAAGGGGCAGCAAAAAAGCAAAGTCATGAATGGAAACTGTCTTCTGTTCTAGCATAAGTGGGTTTTTTTGCTGAAAATTTTTGAAATCTGTTGCTGGAATGATCAGCAAATTTTTCAGCCACTCCACAACTCTTCAAGTTCTTGCAAGGAGAAATTGAGGCACCAAGGCAGAGAAGCCAGGTGGGAGAAGTTGAGATGCAGGAGGAAGACAGGCAGGCTCATCTTGGTGGCCTGGCAGGCAGCAGGGTGTGGAGCTGAGAGGCACTGCTAGTAGGTGGAAAGAGTGGTGAGGACATACCTGCCAGAGGCCATAAAACTGGTATTGATGAAGGAGGTGCTAGAGTTGCTCGGCAGGGAAGACTGCAGCAGAAGAGAAGAGCAGTGGTATTGGTGGAGGACACGGGGAGGAGTGGAGCTGTTTCTGCAGCCACTCCAACCCCGGGTCACCTGGCTACTGCTCAAGGGCTGAGCAGGACTATTCCCTCTGGGACGCTGGCATTATGTCCAAAAAGCAGGAGAGAAGCCTAACTCTTTTACTGTTTAACTGTGGAATCAGTGACATAACAATAAGGAAAAAGTCCTTCCACCTCCCCAGAAAGAGTTGGCTTTGTTCTGGCCAAAGTTTTTTAGCAGGAGTTTTCCTGGAGACTACATCTGCCCCATGGGTGACATCCCAAGCTCTGCTCGAGCCTGGCAGGGCAGTAAGGGTGCCAAGCATTTCAGAGGGAGGGATGGAGGGTGCATATTTGTGCCAGATAATTAACAGACTGTTGCAGAAAAAAAAAAAGCCACTGTGAGCCTCCAAGGTAAATGCCTCTTCTACCTTGCAGGCTCTGGAGCAGCTCAGCATGAGTTGCTGGAGCAAAGGAAACTTCAGGAGAGGGACCTGCATGTACCATGCAGCAGAAGCTCCCATAGACCCCAGTTTCCTCAGCACAGGCCAGACTGTTGGCTTAACTCTGCTGATCTCCCCTCCCTAGCACTCTCCTCCAGCCTACAACAGCACTTCAGTGGTGTCAACAGCCTTCAGTAGCCTCCAAGAGACCTGCAGCAAAGGAGAGATATTTGGGATTTGTGGGGAAGGCTGGTAGCTATTTTATTTGAGTTCTGCATTCTCTGTGCATTGAGAGCATTGCTCCTGTAGCTCCCTTTAGGGACCATGATATCCATTGCCCAGGTTGAGCAGCCCAGTATCCAAGGGAAAGGAGATGTCCAAGGGATGCTTTTGCTTATCACTGTCATGTAAATCAAGCCTAAATCTGAGTCCTTTGAAATGTGAGAAAATGAGAGATTCGATTATCCATATGGATCAATCTGGATTTATTCCAGATTGCTTCATTAGTAGCAATCAAAGACATCACTTTAATGGATTTTTTATCCTCAAAATTATGATCATGAGGAATTTGTTCTGGCTATTGATTTTGAAAAGGCTTTTGATTCTCTTCAATAGCCTTAACTTAGTTCAGATTTAGGTAGCAGTAGGATTTAGTCTTAAATATGTTAGATAGGTCAATCTCCTTTATTCAAATCCACAGTTATGTTAAACTAATGACCATAGTTTGAAGATGATTTATGTGCTGGGGCTTTGGCAGGAGGATCCTTTTTCTCTGATACTTCTGCTGTTACAGAGAAGCCTTTGTTTTGGGAGAAATCAGTATTTTTAAGGGGAAAGTCAGTGATATTTTCCATTCTGCCATTAGTTGGAGAATATATGTATATGTATATATATTTATATTTTTAATGAAGATTATAGATATTATGCTAAAAGTCGCTGGATGTTCATGTTTCTTCTTTGTTAATTGGGGTAAAACTCTTAAAGCCATTAGGCGATTTAAATGTAGCTCTATTTGAACAATATCCTTTATTGGTTCCCCCATTATCCTTTAAACATCTTGGTGAGCAAGGGGATAAAATTAGAAAGAATTTGTTTGCTTTAAATTGCCAGCCTCTGCTTGATAAAACTATTAGCTATTTAGCTAATTGGCCTGCTCTTCCATTATCATTAATTGGCAGAATTGATACAATTAAAATGGAGGCTTTATCTAAAGTGTCTGTGTTTTTTTCCAAGGTATACCCAATCCAGCTCCCAAACATGTTCAGAGAGCCTTACATTCTGCAATTAGTTTTGCTTTCAGGATTAGAGGTAAATTTAAGATTAATTTTGAAACTCCGTAGCTTCTCCTGGAGTCAGCTGGACTGGCTCCTGCTAATTCTGTTGTTGTTTTTGGCTGTCCTGGTAGAACGTGTTGCTTCACGACTTGAACAATTCCCAGCATTAAGCAGTGGCAGCAGCATGTGTAGGACAGTTCAGCCACAAACTGAGCAGAGTCAGGCCTGAGAGCACCCCCAGCTTTGCAGAAGTTCAGGGCAAGGCCTACATCTGGGGCTGCAGCTGCAAGGTGCTAACCCCCATTATTCCCTGAGCCACCAATGCACTTTAACATGAACATAATTTTTAAGCACACACACAGGCGCAGTGACGCCAATTAGCTTACTCATACTAGTAAAGTTAAACAAAGGCTGTGTTTTGTTTGTCACCTTGTCTGTTAGAGACTTATGAGAGCCTGTTGCAAAATAGGGTTTGTACTTCCGCTTGCACCTTGGTCTCGCCCTAGCTGATCCTGCTGTCCAGATCAGCTGGGAGGCACTGGATTTAGAGGAGAGGCTGTACCTCTCCTGCTCTTTCCCTGGACTCATAGCATCAGGAACCTGCACCCTCTGTTCTTACCCCTGGCAGACACGCCATCTACTTTAGATCACTGGTACAAATCATGCTTTCACCTCCTAATGCTATGATTCATGCTAGCCATTAGCTTCAATTAAATGAATAGGCCACAAGGAAATTAAAACTAAATAATGCTTCTATCAAGGGAAGGTCTTCTTAAGAAGCACGGCCTCTGCTGCCAGAATTAGTCACCTGGTCTGCCTTCTGCACCAGAGACTAAGAAAACGAGAGGATGATTAATTGGGCAGGACCAAGAGTATATTGACCCTCCCATACAGCTAGCCAGTGTGGGCAGTTGCTTATTCATACCAGGGGAGCAGTGGCTACATCACTGATCACCACTACCACCTCTGCATCATCTCCATCACAATTCTAGATGGTCTTGTGGTAGCCACACATTCTTCACCACCCAAGCATGCTCTTACACTGGGACATCCTTATCTAAAAAGTGAGTAAAGCTCTGTCACCCACAAAATGAGCCATTTAAAGCTGCTAAAAATAATTTGTATGTAAAATATAAAAATTTTCTACTCAAAATACTTAAAAATGTTTTATCTGTAAGATATATGCAAATATAATTGTACAGAATTTTAGCTAAAATAAATCAGATCTATTCTCATAGGCATGACCCAGTGTGCGCATAACAGGTAGAAACACTGGAGCAATCTTGATAGAATACAGCCCTGCTTAACTCACTGAAGTCATTGTGGTCTTCAGAATATACCAGTCATTTCATGAAGCACATCATGTTTCATGGGTTAATCCTGATTGACTTGTGATGCTTTGCTTTTGGGTATTACCTGAATTATTCTGCCCATCTCTTCTCCATTCATTCTGTCTATTGCAAATATCATTCTACATAGATTTCTCTCATGCACTCATTTGTTATTTAATTATGCATCCCTTTAAGGAGATAGACACATCAAGTAATACAGTACTCCATGGCACGCAGAAAGAGGCATTGTTTACTATTCCATAAAAAAGCGTGAATGTGGAACACACAGTTTATAAGATACTAATGAATTATTTGGATTTTTTACCTTAAAACTGAGTCACTCCAGCTAAGTTCAGTGACTGGTGGAATTTGAATGTAGTAGGTAATAGCCCATGAGACAACCATATGATAGATTTCAGCTTGGCTCATACTGACCATCTCAGCCATGCACCTTGGCACTGAGTGGCATTTGTGGTATCTCACCATGGGGCCACGTTCTGCTGCCTCAGGGATGATGAAGCAAGGCCTGAAGCTGAACTGTTGCTGCAGGTCTTCAGATTCTCCTAGGTAGAAAGAGAGCATGTGAGCCTCTGGAACTAACAACCTGGCATGTCTCCTGAGCAGTAAATTTGCTGTGATGTGTCACCTTGGGCTGAAGGCCCAGGGCTGTTGTGGCTCTATCAGGAGGAACGTGCCCCCACCAGTGCCACTGGAAGCCTCACACTGCCATTGCCACTGAAACCTGTGGTTCAGTTAAAAAGGAGTCTCTATCATAAGAAACTAAAAGACAACTGTGTTAAGTGTACCAATTCTGTGCTGATTTTGCTCCTGAAATGACTGCAGTAAATAATCAACATTACAGTAGTGTAAAACTCATGAAAGAGGTGGGAATCAAGCCCTGTGGGAACAGTCAGAGGAGCTGCAGTGTAGCAGCTAGTCCTCCACGTACAAGATTTAAGGTGTGTTAGGACCAAACTCTCCTTGGAGCAAGCAGTGCTTCTTATTTGATTCCATCTACTGTGGATTTGGTTTATGGTCACCAGGGCAAGAAAAGTCCAGAAAAAGGGACATTCCTGGGCTGAAACATTACTGTGGCATAGTAACGCCTTTCCTCGGTTTGAAAGTAGAGATATAACTCTGAATGTCATTAACTAAGACAATAATAAATTAATACAATAGCCAAGTAATAGCTCTGTAATGCTTTCATGTATGAATTGGAATGTGAATACTGAGATTTTCATTTCATGGTTGAAAAATACATGAGTTGACCCAAATATTAATTTCTGCATTTCAATCATTTACATATTATGGGTCAATAATCATTTCTTGCACAAATGACTTTTCAAATGAGAAGCAGTATATTGTAATGGTCTGTCGTATTTACAAACATCTCATTGTTTTCCCAACTTAGCACTTAGTATTTAACGTATACTGGACTGGATACTGTTTGCCAAATACAATACAAAAAGGACTCATGTAAAATGCAGAGGCTATTTTCTCTTACTATTATCCATAATTTATAATGTTCATAAACCATGGAGTTGTGTGCCTGAGCCCTCACTTTGGACCAGGCATGATTTTTCTGCAATTGTTCAGGAGACCTGATAAGCCTCTCTGTTCTTGGCCTTAAAAATCTCACCCCTTTGAGGAGCCCTCTGAAGATTCAGCCCTGTCAGAAGGGTTAATCGTGGGGATTTTGAGGGTTAGTACATCCCAAGCTTTTTTTTTACAGCATGCAATGACATCCAACAAAATGCCTAGGGTGTCTTTTTTCAATTACTTTACAAAGCTGGAATAATATAAATAACCTTGCTTTTTCCTTACTGGTATTGAACTTAGTCCATCATTTCAGGCTGTTCATTGTTTCCTCATATTCCACCCCTTTATTAGCCAACATATCCCAGCAGAAACCTTGTGTTTTGGAGTAAATAGTGTTCAAGTCCTGAATTAATCAGGGACTGGTGCAGCATATATTCACTGCCCAACAAGATGAATTTACACATCTGCCTTTTCCCCTAATTATAATTCCAGAGGTTGAATGTCAACAGCATATGGGTATATCCTCATAGAGGCATGCAAACACACACACACAGGCACACACTGTACATTAATCTCTCTTGGCTTATCCGTTGCTGTCTTTAATTTGTATACTTCAAAATTGAGTGGTGAGGTCATTTATTAGACTGTTTTTGTGAGTTTTATGTAGTGATAAGAAAGCAGTTACATGCAATTTGTTTTTATAGAACTCACTTCTGTAAGTATGAGCTAATATTTCCTTTCTTTAACAGAGCAGTGAGGAAGAAGAGCTTGCAGAGGTAACTAAGAGTTAAATGGCAACATTTCAGCTGTCACCATTGTCTTACATCTACAGAGAGAGTGGAGAGAGCCAAGAAGATGTAAGTACAGCAGGCCACTGGGAAAAAAAAACAAAACAAAAAAAACAAAAAAAAAAAACAAAACAAAAAAAACCCAAACACGTTTATAAGTATAAATTTCTCTTCAGAAGCCTCAGAGCAAATCTTTTCAGTTTGTCTTGATTTTTCTTCCCCTATTTTTTAAACACAATGTGTGGTGGAAATGATTGTTATTATCCAAAGGACCTTACTTGCTGGCTCGCTGCATCTCTGTTTATGAAATGCCATAACAAAAGTGAGCTCACGCTTGTGTGCTTCCAATGCGTGATGTTCCTGTGTGCCAGATGGGCACTTTCATGACTGTATGAGCGTGGATTATTTCATTTCCTACATCTGGGACTCCAAATGGCTGCACAGAATGCCACAGGAGAGCGGCACAGATCTTCAGCTGGGGAAGCCTACCTTCACAAGGGAACTGGCTACATCAGAGGGGATGAGGCAGAGAAGCCCCGAGTGATATCTGAAAGTTCACATAAGCCAGGGCCATAAGGGAAACCTTTAGAACCAGGAACAAGACAAAAATAAACAATAACTAATGCTGGATGTCAGCTGCAGAGTTGGGGGAGGGAAAATAAACCATAAGCAGTTTCTTGCCTGGCCACAGAAGATGTGTTTGGAATGCTGTTTTGTATTTCAGCACAGAAACTCTGCTGTGACCTTCAGCTATCGCTGGGTATTACAAGTTCTACAGATAGCCAGAGAGAAATATCCCAAGGAGAGCTGGCATATACTGTGCCATCTCACTTAATGTTGACTGCATATTGCTCACAGCCCATTCCAGAACTGTGACTGGCCAGCCTTATGAAAGCACTGCAGAATCCTACAGGAACAGTCAGGAAAACTACCATTTGTCATAACGCTATTGCAGGATTTGGGATAATTACTTGTTTGTTTGTAGGATAAAAGAATGCATTCTTTTTTTTTTCCATCCCAGAACAATGAGAGCAGATCTGCAGTATAGTGAGGACCCGATCTGCTACACTTCTGTGGTGCGTGTTGCATTTCAGTGCCAGCACTTACCAGAGATGGTAAGAAGAGACAGAATAGGCTGTCCTATATGTTTGATTGAATTAACTGTAGCGGGAAAAAAATATATAGTAAACCCAGTGACTTCCTTAAGATGAAAGAGAACAAGCTCCCAAAGAAAGAACAAATGGAAAAAATAATGAACAAAAGAAAATAAGAGCTTGTGACACAAAGTAAGAAAAATAAACAGCAGTTGACTTAACTGTTTTGCATAAGATATTTACAAACCACAGCATATTACTGTTTGCTTTATGCATTTTCACATCCTGCTCAGTTTAAAGCAGTAATTTTCTGCAAGGACAACAGAGGGAAAAAAAATGCTTTACACTGCTTATATTAATTACTTTTTTTCATTACCCGTCATGTTTTCTACAGGCTTGTGTATTATTACTGTAAAATGTAATGAAACAGAAAAAGAAAAAAAGAATGGACTTCTGGGAAATTTTCCAATTCTTGAAATGCAATGTTAATTGAGAGCTATTTTTAGGTCATCACAGATAGAGCTGAACCCATTGCCATCAGTGCACACAAAGGGAATTGTCCAGGTGCAACACAAACTGGGTGAGCGTATCAGTTTCTACTGATGGAGAAGAAGGGAGAGAAACTATCTCCCCAGAGGAATGGGTCTTGCTGGGTTTGGGGCAGCTTCTATATCTCAACAATAAGTTCTCAAAGCATAAAATGAAAAGAAGGGGTATGGAGTCAGTGTAGTCCAGGACCTGCCATAACCATGGGTGCTCCAGAAAGAGACCCAGTGACAGGAGGGTAGAGTACATGACAGTGAGAAACTCTCTGCTTTGATGGCTGACTTCCAGCTCTGGCATGGAGGGCACTCTGTAAGTCAGCATAAAATAAAGTCCCCTCAGAATGTATCAGAAACGTGATCCCTTTAATTTATAGATCTCCTAAAAGGCTGCCAAAAATCAATTATTTTAATTTGTATATAGCACAGCCATGGACTGATTCAAGTTCTTTTGAAGTATTTTTAAACAGCCATTGCACAAAGCCACCCTCTTTCCCATATGCAAAAAATGAATTGAAAACCACAATCTCTTGCAGTCACTTTGATCGCGAGAAAAGACACATAGGACTCTGCAAGCAAATCTGAGGCCCCCTGCTAAGTCCTTTAACTGGTACCTTTACTATTAGTCCCAAGAATCAGCTCTCCCTGTATTATCTGCCTCTTTTCCCAAAGAGTGCAGGGAAGGTGTGTGAGCCAATAACAGCTTGTGAAGACCAGAGGAAATACTTGTGGGTGGGTGGAGGTTCTCTTTGAAATTGGAGAAGTGGAAAATCCTTGGTGTGCACTTAGTAAGGCTGAAATGAAAGGGGAAAGAGCATCCCATGTGGGGGAAGCCACCCTTATCTTCACAAAGCTGTTTGTTCTCTGCATTACACAGCACTGCTATATAAGCAAGAGCCTAACGTGGACTTTTATTTTTTTATTTTTTTTTTTTTTATTTTTTTTTTTTTCCCAGCAGCCATCCTCACATGTAGAATGTTTTGGAAAAACTGAGACTACCCTGAAAAATTTTCTACCCACTTTTGCCCCCTTCATGTAGCAATCTCAAAATGAAGCCATGACCAGATGGTCAATAACCAAGAACGTACCTATTGTTCTGTTTGCTTTGATGCTACTGCACTTCTAGTAACCAGCCTGTAGGTACAGGAGTCATCTCTCTGCCCAAGTTGGCCCAGATCAGTAATTGAACAAACATTTTCTTTTAGAAATGCTGCATCAATAGTACTAACTTTTATAGTGAGAAATTGTTTTAGAGCCAAGGTAAGGTGAGTGCATTACAGTGCCACTCATCCACACAGAAGGCAAGTGAACTCTGATACTCTCTTTGCAAATCAAGAAAGAAGTTCTTATTGACTATGCATGTCCCTACCTCCAGTGGTGGTACCAGCATTTAGACTTCATTTTGCCAAGCCAAGGTGGCTCCAGCTAGTTGGAGCCTCACCTTAGCTCATTATTGGCTTGTCAGCACTATATACTTCATCAAGTCTGACAGCTAACCCCATACTTCTGTATCTCTGCATGACAGGCTCCTTTTTGCATTTAGACGTGAGTTATTCCCCTTTGCTAGAAAAATTGATTTGAATCTGTAGCTCTCTGATTGAAAGTCATGTTTTTTTCCACAAAGAACTCAGCTTTGTTCTTTCGTAATGCTTTAGTTCTCTTCAGCACCCCAACTTGCTTTCCTTGTAGGCAGTGGTCCAGAAACAGTAGGGCTCCTTTACAGACTCAAGCAGGTAGATTTTCTTGTAGTGAGATGATAGGAACAACTGTTGGAGGGCATGAAAGGAGCAGTGGGACCTGGGAATGAGATTACAAAGCCTCCTGGAGGAGCAGGGGAGGTTTGACTCAAGCCATGGCTGCCCATAGCACGTGGCTCCCACATGAGTCAGCCCCTCAACACTCAAGGTGCTGGAGAAAGGGCAATAATCTAGTTTATTCCAAGTCAAACTCATGGTGTAAATAAGGAAGTCAGTATTCAAATGGCAATTCAGACTTGAGATAACGTTCTAAGATACATGTAGTCACTTATGTCCATGGGAGTATTATTGTCGTAACTTTCACTTGAGTGAGTATTTCATCTCTAGGAGCTTTCATTTTTCCAGTTGATTAGCTGGCACCTGTCCTCTGTTGAAAAAGGGTAGCGTGCACCTGAAGAATCACAGTAATAAGCCAGTTGGGGATACTTGGCAGGATGGACCCATGGAGACTGCAGTCGTTTGACTGGATCAGTAGGTGGGATTTCCTCAGAGAAAGGGAATTCAAATGTCACTTTGAAAATTTCACTTCAGTGTTTTCATTTTCTGTTTCAGCTGTGTCAGGAATGGCCTGCAGATTTAAACTCTGACTCACAGTAGGAGAAATGAGGGTCCATTAATTCTTATGAAAAAAAAAGTGCCATTCCAGGCCATAGCCCTAATGTAAATGAATTTGGCATGTTCCAGAGTAGACCATCACTTCCATTATGAAATCAATGGATATAATTTAAGCTTTGGTCCGACAAAGCCTGAAACTTGCAGAGCACACACCAGATGTTTATTAATGTTTAGAGGGTGTCAATGGTCATAAAGGATTTCAAATCATAAAACCATGACAGAGGGTCTGATACTGGCTGCAGCGCAGTGCTTTCATAAAATTTTATTGTCTCTCAGAAAGCAACAGGCCACAGTTCTTAAACATGTTTCAGGAACTGATCTGCACTCAGAAATGCTCTAGTATCTATGGAAATTTGCCTCTAATTTATCTGACAGTCCCATCTTTCTGAGCTGTGTTTAGGACCATGAGCATTTCATGCAGGCATACTTTTTAAACTGCTTCTCTGCATAGATAGAGGGCAAAAAGTAGAAGAAATATGTTATGGACTCCAGCTGCTAGAAATATCCCATAAGAAGTTATGTACTGGCCAGGATTTGTAAGGATGCCATTGGTATGCTTCAGATGCAGAACCCAACTAAGATGGGGTTAATGTCCACTTTGAAGTTGTTGCAGGTGCAAAGCTCCCCACAGTTCCTCCCAGCCTGTGTGTCCTACCAGAGGGTCTGTGCCACTGCAGGAGAAACCCTGCCAGGCAGTACAGCCAGCCTGGCCTCCCAGGATTTGGCTGCTTCAGCACTGGTTCCCAGCACCTTCTATACACTGGAGCACCAGGATGCTGAACTGAGTGTCTGTACTCACACACAAACCTTTAAAAAAGGTTTCAAAAACGCAGGGCTGACCCATGGCCTCTATGATTTGCTTCAGTAGGTCGCACCTTAACCCTGTTATTTTCCTCAAATTTTCTCAACTGTAACCTTCCTGGGTACCATCAGCATAAACCTCACCTCCCAGGTAACTCCTCAAACCCAAGCATATCCTTCTTTAAACACTGCAACTGCTGTGAGATGAAAAATACCGTGCTTAAATGGTGCCCTTTGGAGTGGAGCACTGTGCATAGAGACCTGCCAGATTCCCATCCGACGGGTTAGCTGAGACGGGGGGGGCTGGAAACATTGACTGCAGCCAATTTCCTTTTTTCTATTCGTTAATTCACGTTGTCCAAACAATAAGAACATTTGGTGCATTTACCTCTAAATATGTCAAATGCTCCTTTAGGAAAGAACTTCCAAGACCTAAAATCGTCTTTTAAGATCAAATTCATTGCCTGAGCTTAAAATTGTTCTTGACACAAATAAGCACAGACACACACTTGCAGACTTCATCTGCACTGTAGGAATTGTCCTGGGATAGCACAGTGCTGTCTGTGGAGCCCTGCTGCAAAGCCTGGCTTTCTGATACTAAAAGAGCACTGCAAATATTAACATGTTTTTGAGTGTGAGAGAATTAAAAACAACAACAACAAAAAAAGAAGATGAAGAAAGAAAGAGAGATTATCCCATAATATAACAGATCTAAAAAGAAATTGGCTTCATTTTCACCTATTGCGGACGAATGGAGGTAAAGCAACTTTTAATTAGTACAACAGGACAATAGGAATGAAATTGGCTTGGCCACAAGATTTTTGCAGGATGACACTGATGGTATTACTATCCAACTTCAAAGATTTGGAAAGATGTGGCTGCTAACACTGGAGAATAGAAACCTGTTTTTCATCAACTAGGCTGGCCTGACAAATTAAGTCTGTGGAGTCATTAGATTAAGATAAGAGCTTATCTCCTAGACTGACATTTATTCAGAGGTTTTTATGCTGCTCAACTAGTAATTAGTGTAGTTGAATTTTTAACACTGCTTTGTCCAGTTATTTGACAAATTTGAAATATATGCATCTTTGATTAAAAAAAAAAAAAAAAAAAAGAAGAAGCTAAAATCCAAGAGTACAGAATTATTAGCTTGGACAGGTTTTAATTTCTAGAAAAGTTGAGATGGTGTTAAAGATCTTCAAGCAAGTCAGAAGTTCTTCTGCTTTTGACTCATTTCAGTACACTCATTGAGAGGCCCCTTAAACTAAATTTGTAGGCACTAAGCAGCAGATATCTCCAGCAAATCTGCAATTTCTTTCATATCCATCCATTTTGTAATTCTGCTGCTTTACAGGAGCAGGAGTCCAGCGGAGGCTGCACTCCTGCTCATTAGTGCTTGTCTGCCTCCTTCAGCACTCTGGTTGGGATTTCTTGGGGGGAGTTTCAAAAGGATTCTTCTCTCACATGGCTGATATCACAGGATAACGTTTATTTTTCCTGTCCCGATTTTCTTGTACTAACAGATGGATTGTTCCTGAGCAAACAAATGCATTACTCCTGAACACATGTTTTAACATTGCTTTAGACTAACAAATCTTTCTTTTTTTTTTTTTTGAACATTTTATTTTGAGTAATCAAAGATCAGAATTAGAATAATAATTAGTGATGAAATGAGTGAGGATTTGTTTATGAACTTTGCCTTTTTTTTTCCTACAGTTATGTCCCAATATTACTGTTGCTATATTTATTTTGTCCAAAGTGCAACCATCTCAGCATCTGTCATTGTATCTGTTAGAAATACACAGGCAAGGAGAGCTCACAGTAGTAAATTACGGTTCATCCAACCACTTAATTCTTATGATTGCTGGCTTTCACCAAAAAGCAAACAAACAAAAAAAAGACTGAAATTCAGGGCAGTTGGCCACACCACCTCTGAGTGCAGCGGTGGCATTAGAGCAGGGCATGAGTGCTGAGGCCACCTGGGAGCAGAGGCTGTGTGCCAGCACCTCATGGCTGCTTCTGTGGCTTTGGATTTTTCTGATGTTTACATGAGTCCCCACGACACAAGAGAAGTTAAGCACCTGATAAGCACCACAGCTCTTCCATGGCACATGTTCAGCTAGGAGTGGAGTCCTGCTGCCCCCCAGTTCCTGAGCCAGGTTGGAACGGACCTTTAAAGATTATCTAGTTGAGAATGATGTGGCAATGCTCATCAATCTGAACCACTTGCATCAGTCCTCAGAGAAACTTCAAGCACTGCTTTTCCCCCCTCTGAATTGCAGCTGTTGCTGCTGCCTTTGCTGTCTCCCAGCTCAAAAATCCCTCCGAACTGCTGAAGTGCAACTCATTTCCCTGCCAACAGAGCAGAAAAGTGGAGCCTGGACCTGACCCTCCGGTGTCTGTGAGAGGAAAGCCCATATTCTGATTTCTCCAAAAAGGATCAGGGACTGAGCTGAGAGAGATTTGAGTTGAAGCAACCTGGGGACTGTGGTAGCATCATCACTGTTTCCCTGGGCTGGTTTCTCCTGCTGAGCTGTGCATCACTACACAGACTGGATGATGTCAGTGCTGCCCGAGCAAGCTTCAGTTTGGCTGCTGAATAAAGGGAAGAGTTGTCGTCACCACACAGACAGAAAACCAAAGAAAGCCTGTGTCTTCTAGCTAAAAAGCCAGCTTAAATGAAGGCATAAACATCTCCTTTTGAGGTACTGTGGAGACAACAGCATACAGGCATCTTTGTGTTGCCCGTCCATTGGCAGCACTGGCTCATCAGGCAGTTCCCCATCCCCACATCTGTGTCAGACACCTCATCTTGCTGCTCATCTGTGGGGTTTTGGTTCATGGATTTTTGCTGCTCTCCTGCACTTCCATGAGCAATGCCACTCTCTCACACCTGCACCTCGGGTCAGTTTAAAAACAGCTGCTGTTTGATGGCACACACTAAATGAATTACTGTCCTCAGTTATGGCCTACGAGTCTGGAGAATGAGACCTTCACTGGCACCACACAGGAGGCCAAGGACAGGCAGAAGCACGGGCAAAGGCAAAGTTCCACTAGGTCAAGGGAAGGGGCATGGCAGACTAATGGACAGCAACCTGCTCTTAGGTGGAAGACTGCTCTTCAGCATTTGGCCCAGGTCAAACAGGTGAGAGAGAATTTTTCTCAAGTTTCTACTGTTCCTAAGCAATTTGTAAGATGGGAAAGAACGGCAGCTATTTTTGTTATCTGACAAATAAGTTGTCAATACCACCAGAAATTACTGCCCCTTACTTAGACATTGCTCTAGTTTTTCTTTTGATGGCTTTTGGCTTCTAAGCTTGGCACAAGAGGTAGCCATGTCCCAGAAAAATATGCTTGCCCTTTTCAACCAGATTCCTTAGGCTCAGGTTTACCCCCAGTAAATGTTTCACAGTGCCATAAATTATGCAGTGAGTTCCACACAAACATCCTCTACTCTCTGAAATGAAGGTGAACACTCGGTAGCACAAATACGCAATGTAGCCATCCAGCTGTTTGTGTTTCCCCCAGGCATTCAATACTTCCCACAAATAACTACACTTTGCACTTCTATAACATACATTCTGAGACCCCACAGGGCACCAAAAGATGGAGTAAATGCCTCTATTTCTATGTCATAGGTGCTTAGCACTTCTGAAATGCAAGCTCAAAGCAAGGTGTGTTGAACATCCTAAGCATGGAGAAATCTTTCTGGAAAGCTGATGGAAAAGATTTTCTCAACTACTGATGGTCAGTCAGTGGGCAGTGGTTTGTGCAACTGTTGCAGAGGGGGTTCCCTCACTGCAGGGAAGTCTCTCCGCAATAGCCTGAGCTTTCCTCCATTTTAATTTTCTGTAGTATGGTATTTATTAAGTACTTTGCCATAATGTGCCATTGCTAGTGTGCCAAATCCTGAGCAAATCACATCCTCCGTTCTTCTGTTGCAGATTTGTGAGATAATCTATTATAGATTAATCTTTTCAGTCTTATGGTGCAATGTCAAAAATAAATTGGGGTTATGAAGCTGGAGGGGAGCCACTGGGGCAGGGGGGAGGGAGGGCGTGTTCTCATTGTTGCTTCTTATTTGACTTTGAAAGCATTGTCACAATGAGATTTTTGGAGCTGATTGTTACCCCGTGGAATCCGAAACACAAGGTAAAAATGTCGTGGACTAAGTTTTTATCTCCACAGATATCAGCTCAGTGTTGAACTGTGGATGATTTTCATGCTATTTCATTCCCTCTCCTCACAACATGAAATATATCTGGGCTGATCCATTACATCTCTTTAGAATAATAGATGGCAGAAAAATAAATAGAATAGAATAAAAGCCACCCCATTTCAAGGACTGAATGTCTGCTGGAGATGGAGGTATCCAACCCAGAAAAATAATACAGGCCAGGAATACAGCCAAATATGCTGTATGAAAATATTCATTTGCATCATTTTAAATATTCCCTAACATTTTACAAACTGCCGAATGTCAGACAGTGGGTAATTTGCCCAGTGCCACAGTTCTCATTACACTTCGCAGTAAGTCACAGAAGGTCCCTGGTGTCTAAACCAGATCAAGGGGCAGTGCACAGGAAGAGCCCACTGTCCCATGCAGCTCCCTAGACTCCTCTGCAAGACAGAAGAGCCAAAATCCTCTCCAAATCAGGTATAAGTTGGGAAATGAGACATTTAGTTCCACCTGTGCAGCTATGAACCATCCGCCTAGGCAGGAAGATTTTATCCTTCCACCAGTTATTGAATGCAAAACTACAGGGACTTCATGATGGGCCTTACCTTTAGAAGGGTGGCGGAATATCACAGGGAATGCAAAGAATGGGAAAACGTTCTTTTTGTTTTTCAGTTTCTTTTGCTTGGGTGCAAAGTAAATCAAACCAGGCTCCACGCTGAGTGATATATCATATAAACCTTCTATGCGATATGTATCCAACAATTTGTTTTTCACTACGGTAGCTTTTCACAATCCATAAGTCAGATGAAACGTAGCTGAGATTTCCTAGCTTGAAATGCAAAGTGATTTTTTAAGACATGCTGATGTTTTTTCCATACTAAGAACAGCTGCTGTACAATGCAGATGCAGATATGTGCAGAGCATACTTGCTAATTATTTGCTCATCGTATCTTTGGCGTTCTTATCAATTAATCCATTAAAAGCGTGCATTTAAGCAACATTAAGATTGTAGCAATAAAATAGCCAACAAAAATAAAAGACTAGCATAGTGCAGTTCTGAAGTGGTTTGCACAGATCTGCCTTCCATTCACAACCTATCTTTTACGTTCAACAGGTATTTGCATGTCATACGCAGCATCTCTGAAAAGCTTGCTGTGTGAGGTGGGTGACCCTAGTTAAAGACATATGTAAATGGATAACGTGTCAAAAAGAAAATATGCCTTTAAAATAGGAGTATAACATTGATAGGATCAACAGATCATAACAGTATGTTGTTTAAAATGTGTTGGGCAGAAAGCCTTAAAATATTTGCTTACTGAGTCTGAGAAGGATATTTTTCTCCTTGTTTTCCCAATGAAGCCAATTCTATCCCACCAGCTCTGCTTTCTCGGCCCCACAAGGGCTGATTCCTGCAGGACTGGGAATGCTCTTTTCTTTTGGGAAAGACAAGAACCAAGTTCATCCTCAGTACCAATCTTGCATGGGTCAAAGAAAAACCTGACGGACCAATCTGGCACCCAGGCTTGTACCACCGGGTAGGAACATAATGAA